AGTCTACACCCAGTGAGTCCATCCAAGTGGATTAATCCACTATTAGTCTACACCCAGTGAGTCCATCCAAGTGGATTAATCCACTGTGAGTCTACACCTCTCGCAACCCAATCATTTCACAATATGGCGGCAGGGCCTGGAGGAGGAGAGCAGCTCAGGACAGGGCACCAGGGAGCAGAGAGAGCTCTGCCGACCAGGGACAGGACAGAGACCCCAAAGGCACAGCCCAGGGACCACACCCCACCTGCCCACAGCTATCACCCACTTAATCCGTATCAGTGAATCAATCCACTCTTAGGTTAAGACTCTCAAAACTCAATCATTTCACCTCTGAACATTCTTGTATTGTCTCACAGGAGTCTTCTGGGGACCATACAATGCACATATATGTGTGGATGCTATACATTGCATATGATACTCATGTTATATATGCACATCTATAATATTTGTATGTAATCCACTGCATTAACAGAATAATGCATAAATGCACAAATATGCATACCATGTAAATAACAGTGCATCAGATGCAGATGATCACACATGAAATGCCAAGTGTACCCGTCATTCATTTTAAACCCACCACACGACCAGTGAAACTCCCCATCACGTACAACCACAAGAATGGCATCCTAATTAGAATAAGTTAGGCTCCATGTAGGTATAATGTCAAAATACACTCTACTAAAACTGTCTTTAACTTTCCTTCTTTTATTTAAAAAAAGAAACCCAACACCTTCTTTTAAGACAGAAACAAGACAGGAATGGTGGGATGGCTGTACCATACTGACAGTCTGGGTGCAGGGAAGAGTTAATTAATGGTCACAAACAAGCAACCAGAGCTCTCACAATCGCAGTCAGTATGACGGCCCGTAAGGACTACCCCGGAGAATCTGTTTGCTACAACTGGAGATAGAACTGAGCACCGTGCGCAGCACATGACCAGCAGCAGTGTTGCACGCACCAGGACAGCACACGATGGATTTGAGGAAAAGGAACTTGGTTCCCGAGAAGCCCATGAAGGAAGGAACCTGAGAAGAAGCGTGATAAAGACGTGATGCAGGGCGGACGAAACACGGAGAAATGTTTACGGGTGTAGGGAAATGACAGTCCAAATGAAAACCCAGCCAAAGACGTAAAGGCTAATTATTAAGGGGACACAGAAAAGGCAAAGGAAACTGTCACAGAGTTCCCCCTCTGCACAGCAGTCAGCCTGGGCGTTCCAAGGGCAGCCGAGAGAGCGTGTACCCCACAGGGGACGGGGTGGGGGTAGAGGTGGCTTCAGGGCCACGAGGAGCACTGACTGGAGAATCATCATGACCAAAGACAGAGTGGTCTGTGCCACAGGAAAGTTGTCAGAACAGGGTAAGACAAAACTAGAATGAGCTGTGAAACTGGGTTCACTTGGCTCTTGGTGTTCAGCAGCATTTTGTCTATTTAAGTCCCTCCCAGATCCTGAAGCCTGCTGCCGCCTATTTCCCAGGTTCCTCTTGCCCCCACCCGCCGCTGCCCTGTGGCCTGGATCAGCCCGTGAGCTGATGCAGGAGCAGATGCTGCAAACCCACTCCTCCTCACCTGACGCTGCCGATTCTCGTCCAACGCCCCCTCTTCCCTGCACCAAGCACGGATTCCAGTATCAAAAATAAACACACTGCAAGGGGCCGCCATTAAATCGACAGAGTCCTGGCAGAATTTTTTTTTTTAAACAAGGGTTTAATGAGAAGGCGTCCTCCAAAAGGATCCGCAGCAGCGTGCTGTGCCTTCCAAGGTTTCCGGCCTCTTATTCAAACCAGTGTTCCCTGCGCAGGAACCGCACGGTGTCATCGAATCCGCGCTGGTACAGGGCTTCCATTTTCCTTGTGCTCGGAGGGAAGAGGGCCTGGTTGAGCCTCATGAGGTTGGGCAGGGACAACTAGGAGGGAAAGACACAAGTTCACGCTTATTCTCCAATATTTCAGCTCTTCCATGTTTCTAAATAAATAAATGACCCCATCGAAAACTGCACTGACGCGGGAAACAGCCGAAGAGACAGGAAAAGCTATGCAAAGTGTCAGTTAATCAAGCCGGGCGCGGTGGCTCACGCCTGTCATCCCAGGGCTTGGGAGGCTGAGGCAGGAGGATCGTGAGTTCAAAGCCAGCCTCCGCCAAAGGGAGGCCCTAAGCAGCTCAGGGAGACCCTGTCTCTAAATAAAATGCAAAATAGGGCTGGGGACGGGGCTCAGGGGTCCAGTGTCCGTGAGTTCAATCCCTCGTTCCCCTCCCACAAAAAAGTGACTTCACCAGCAGCAGAGAGACTGTACCCCGACAGCCCCAGGCCCCCAGGTCTCTTGGTGTGATTGAGAATTGCAAGGCGGGCTGCAGGCTGCATTCATTCTGCGGGATTCGGGAATTTTAAATGTCACTGAAGGTCATGACTCACCATTATGTCCTGGTTGGTGACCTTGATGTACACGCTGAGCTGCCCTTGGTCCTGGGGGGAGATGTCCAGCCGTCCACAGAAAGGGGAGATGGTCACCGTGCGGCCGGCGGGCAGGACGGGGAGGCTGTTGGTGAGGCCTCCGTCCACCCACTTCTGCGGGAAGGAAGGTGCACGTACGTCAGTGGCCGTGGGCGGCCCGATTCCCGCGCACAGAGAGAAGGAGCGGGGCCTTGTCCACAGCGGCCGGCCTTCCCGGTCCTAAGGTGCACGCTTTGGGTGTCCTTGTCAATCAGCATTGTCTGGGTGCTCCTCCAACTGGGCGTGTGCGTTGGGAGCGAAGGAACTCTCTGTGCCTGTGTTGCTGACTGAGCAACACAGAATCACGGAATCAGGGGAACCTCCCCCACCCGGGGGGGAGCGGGCCCCGTTGCTCACGGTCAGAATCGGAAACGGGCATTTTTGTGCAGCAAAGTCGAACATAAATCCGACAACGGGAAACCCTGCTGTTTGCAAAGAGGCTCCGTTGGGCACCAAGACGGGTGTGTGTGTTGTGAAGCTGGAGACCGTGGTGAGTGCAGGGGGAAGGCCGCCGTCACGCAAACTAAGCGGGTCTCAGAGCGAGCAGGAGGGACCTTGGAGAGCTCACGTGTCCTTGGTCCCTGGCTGTAGGAAACTGCGCTCTGGTAGAAACACACACACTGCAGCCCGTGTGTGCCAAGGCCAAGGACAAGGGAGAAGGAACACGTGCTATTTTTGTCACCTGCCCTGTCCCTTTTCTTCCTCCTGACTTGTTTGGACTTATAAATCGGGTGTGGAGACGGCTGGCATTTCTACTAGCTACGAAGGCCTTGGCCCGATGCCGACTCCTCTAAAAGGGAACGGAATTCCACAAAAAAACAGGTGATTTGACTCACATGAAACGGACCCACAAGGATGTGCATGCTGTCATGATGCACAAGATTATATGATTCTTCATGTACATACACACACGGCTATGAATATCTGTGCACCTGAAAGCAGGTGTGTCGCTCTCTCTATATGTGCATAAACACGGTCGCAGCGTCCGCGTGTGTTTCAGATACAGCAGGTTATACAAGTGAAATCGACAAAAGGGAGGTTTGCAAAACCAAAGGCCCCCCCATATAGGATTGCACCCCGAGCTTGCTCCCCCCGGCCTCGGTCTACGCAGGAATGCCTACGAGAGGGGGTCCGTCTGTCTCGTTGAGTGGAAAAGTGTTGCGATTTACGACGGGGTGAATGGCTGCTGTTTCAGGGAATCGGAAATCCTTTGGCCAACTTCTGTTTGGCTCTTGTCGGCTTGTCCTGATTGGATAGATGACGAGGAAACACAGAGTCATCAGACGGCTTCAGGACTCCATCGGCAACCATTCCAGCGCCTCTGCACGCTCCGAGGCTGCCATCCCACCGGCTCGGGCGCTCTGTGGGCCACATGCCTCACTCCCGAGTTCAGCCCGCCCGAGATCCTGGGCTCAGCACACGCACCCCTCCGTTCAGCCGTGCGGATTCGACCCGTAACTCTGAAAAGTGCTGATTTCTTTCTTTAGTGTTGTGCAGTTTACGTTGTACAGGTCTGTCGCCTCTTTTGTCAGATTGACCCCCCAAACGTTTTATTTCCTTTGAGGGTGGGACTGCAAATTGGTGCCACCCCTCTGGAAAGCAGGATGGAGATTCCTCAGAAAATTTGGAATGGAACCACCACTTGACCCAGCCGTCCCACTCCTCAGCATATACCCAAAGGTCTACACTACAGGGACGCAGCCACATCAATGTTTTTACAGCAGCTCAATTCAGAATAGCTGATCAACCTAGGTGCTCTTCAACAGCAGAATGGATAAAGAACACGTGGGACCTATAACGATGGAATATTACTCAGCCATGAAGAAGGGGGAAATGATGGCATCTGCTGGGGAATGGGTGGAACTGGAGAATATCATGCTAAGGGAAATAAGCCAATCCCCAAAAAACCAAAGGCTGAGAGTGTCCTCTCTGAATGTGCAGATGCCAACTCACAATAAGGGGCAGGGAAGGCAAGAATAGAAGCCACTGGATTGGACAAAGGGGAATGAAGGGAAGGAGGGGAGTGGGAATAGGAAACAGTAGAATGAATCGGATGTCACTTTCCTATGTTCATACATGAATGCAGTGTGACTCCACACCATGCACAACCACAGGAATGGGCGCTAATTAGGATAAGTTATACTCCACGTATAGACGGTACGTCAAACTACATTCTCCTGTCATGAATAACGAAAAGGAACAAAAGGTTACAATGTTAATAAAGCTCATTGCTGGACCTACACTGCTGCCCCTCATTACCACTGCTCACCCACTACCCCCTTCCGGTCTCTGACCACATGCCAAGCATGCGCCACGTGAGCGTTCATTGCCTGGGTAAACAGTGATGTAGCTTTTGTGGGAGGTATGTTCCAAGACTCCCCAGTGGATACCTAAAGCTGCAGATGGGAGCAAACTCTGCAAACATTATGTTTTCCTCTATGCCCCATATCTCTACTGCGTACCTGGTCCCCTCATTTCACAAGAGGAAAGTGCATCTTGGGGAATTCCTTGTTCTGGGTTGTAGCCTGATAAGTTACGGCCCACCATTTCCTTCCTTAAATAAAGTTTTATTGGCACACATCCACGTCCTTTGGCTTATAGATGACCCACGGTGGTATTCCCACTATGACAACACAGTTGGGCAGAGATTGGGTATGTCCCTGCTCAAATATTTACTCTGATACTCTACAGAAAAATTGCAGGAAGAAATATCTACTGCTGTGGAGCTTACATGCAAAGAGGCTTGAGTGGGTCTTTTCAATTCATGTTCTTCCTGACGCACTGTGAAATACCGTGATGCTCAGTGGGGCAGGAAAATCACCAGGGGGGGGAGGAAATATATGCAATTTGCAAACAAAAATCAACTCTATATTTGTAAATCTGTCTCTTTGCTTTCATGATAGTGGCTCCAAGTAGTCAGATCGAGCAGAACACTCTTGCTCCGTAATGATATTTTTAAAAAGGGGCCAGGGAAACTCTTGCACTAACTTCTATTGGATGCTGCTGACTTTCAGAATTTCTCAAAGTTGTTTAGAAATGGTGACTGCAAAAAAATCGGGTTCATTGAGCAGCTGGCAAGGTGCAGTCATCAATAATAAATATTCCCTGGAAGACAAACATGGTGTTCCAAAAATTAAATAGACCGTGCAGGAAAAAAAAAAAAAAGTGTAGAACATCGGGCCCTTGTGGACGCGATCGTCATTCTGACAGTCAGCCATTTGCCGATGCAGATGCTCTCTCTTGGAGAACATCAGTTAGCAATTCCTTCTGAGGATGCTCCTCTTGTCCCAAGTGGATGGCAGGCACCTGTGATAACCTGGCCTACGAGTGGGGTCTACTACCCGAGCCCCTCCTCCCCATCAAAAAAGATTCAGGAGCCCAGCTCCCTACTTGGCATCTCCAGGGTGTGTGTCTGACCTCACGTTTCACAATGAATGCTGAGGCTGCAGTCATCGCGTCTAAGTTCCAGGAAACAGGAAAGGAAGACAAGAAGAACAGAACATGTCTAATCTCCCTTCCCACGTGCCTCACAGGAATTCGGCTTGCATCTCGTTGGCCTGTACACCACCTTCCTGGCTGTAAGCCCAACAGTATTTCAGTTTACTTCTTCTTGGCCAACAACTAAATGGGTAGACACGCTCATCTGCAGGGGAAACTAAGAAAACTAACCTCTGAGCTACACGGCCGTCAGTCCAGATAAAATGAGATTCTATTAGGAAGTAAGAGACCCTCACCAGAGGTTCACGGGTGGGCTCACTCAGCCTTGGACTGTCGGTCTGCAAACGGTGAGCTTAAAACCGTTTTTGTTGATAAAGTACGGACCTTAGGCATTGTGTGATAGCAACATGGAACGAACTGACACACCTCTTTTGGTGTGAATGCAGAATCTCATGAGAAGCCTTAGGATTTTTCTTAACCATAGTTCCCATTTTTGTCACGAGTAGAGTATATTATAAAGGGTACTTTCAAGTAAGAGCTATTTTAGATTCCAGGTCATTATAAAACCAATGTTCACAGCGCAAAGCTGATTTTTTGATAGCAACTTTAAGTCTATTCAAAAACGTAATGTGGAAGTGAATGCCAGCTTCATTTCGAGAGGGGGAAAATAATACTTGAACGATGCATTCCCAGTGTGACGTACTGCAAATAAGATTCTAAAATGACAAAACAGGCCACGCTTTCCTTGGAGACTGAACATGTTTTAGCCAGGAGTGACAGCATCAAAAATAGGAAATATTGGGAAAGCTTACCTAGTTTGCACAAGATGATAGGTAGATTTTTTATGCACTCTTTAAAAAAATTCCCTGGGTGTATTTATTGCTTCTAATTGGCCACAGTCGGGATTCCAGATGGCTGAAGAGAGGTACCTCCCTACAAAGGACATGTCGTAAGCACGTGGCACTGAGTCGTCCGACGGAGACTGGTATTGGACGATAGGATCCGTAGGTCGTATAAATACCTAGGGCTCTTCTTGTCTATGTTAAAGGACATCCTCGGATGGCAAACCCACCTCGCTGGTGTGGGTGAAACAGAAACGGTGCTTTACCTGCCCTTGGTATTCGACCGGTCTCAGTCCCGCGTAGATGGGCACAAAGCTGCTGGCCAGGAGAACCTAGGTGCACAAACAGAGAAAGGGCTCAGCTCGACAGGCCGCCCGCACAGCTGCGGCACCCTTTAGAAGGAAACTCTTATGGCACGAACACCTTCCACGCGTGCCCAGACACGCACGCTCACGCTTACGCAATAATAATAAAAAAATAACGCTTTCCACATGGAGAAGGCCCTAACATCATAGGTACAGATGCACGCGCCCCAAGTGAGTGAAGTACACGCTCCTGAGTCTAAATCAGTGGTTCAACTGTCCAAGACCAAGTCCTTTGAAACTGATATTTCAGTTCCTTGCAGTTGCTAACTGATGACTTGTAATGTTCTATCAATTGCTAGGAAAATGGTTTTAAAGTTGCCCTGTTGGGAAAGCTGGGAATGGAACCACCATTTGACCCTGCTATTGCCCTTCTCGGACTATTCCCTGAAGACCTTAAAAGAGCATTCTACAGGGACGCTGCCACATCGATGTTCATAGCAGCACAATTCACAATTGCTAGACTGTGGAACCAACCCAGATGTCCCTCAATAGATGAATGGATAAAAAAAATGTGGCATTCATACACCACGGAGTATTACGCAGCACTAAAAAATGACATACTCGTAGAATTTGCAGGGAAATGGATGGCACTAGAGCAGATTATGCTAAGTGAAGCTAGTCAATCCCTAAAAAACAAATACCAAATGTCTTCTTTGATCTAATGAGAGCAACTAAGAACAGAGCAGGGAGGAAGAGCAGGAGGAAAAGATTAACATTAAACAGAGACATGAGGTGGGAGGGAAAGGGAGAGAAAAGGGAAATTGCATGGAAATGGAAGGAGACCCTCATTGCTGTACTAAATTACATATAAGAGGTTGTGAGGGGAATGGGAAAATAAACAAGGAGAGAAATGAATTACAGTAGATGGGGTAGAGAGAGAAGATGGGAGGGGAGGGGAGGGGGGATAGTAGGGGATAGGAAAGGCAGCAGAATACAACTGTTACTAATAGGGCATTATGTAAAAATGTGGATGTGTAACCGACGGGATTCTGCAATCTGCATTTGGGGTAAAATTGGGAGTTCATAACCCACTTGAATCTAATGCATGAAATATGATATGTCAAGAGCTTTGTAATGTTGTGAACAACCAATAAAAATAAAATAAATAAAATCAAGTCGCCCTGTTATTTTGTGGAGGAAGAACCCCCCCTGGTTATTTTAGGGGAGATTCACTCCCCACGGCGCAGGATGCCCCCACGGATGCTACCAGGATGTGGCCAAGGGGACGGCGGCACGTGTTTTTAGACACTCCACGTTCCGTCCAGCCCAGGAATCATGAGATGCAAGTAGACCCACGATCCGCTCTCTTCCGTTTGGAAAGTGGGAAGTGATTGCCATTTAGGATACGATCGGTTCTTCCCAGAGGCGCCCCGAGCTCCGACGCTCTCCCGCCATCTCCACGTCCTCTTGGGCAGCCGCCTCGGTTTGCAATGGGCAGCGAGGGCTCTGCTTGGAAGCAGGCGGCACTGGGCGTGGGATATTTGAGCTCTCATCTCTCGGCTGATAAGGGAAAGGCTCTACGGCTGCTTATCGGCAAAGATTTCGTGAGGCTTTTTCTTTTTTCCCAACATGCATTATTCAGAAATGGATCAGAGCCCGACCCTGGCTTGTAAATCATCTGATTTAGAACTCAGAAGGCATTTCCCCCCAAGGAATCATATCATAGGTCTGATTTTTCTTAGGTCAGCTCTCAAAAGCCTATTTATGCTGATCTGCCACTCAATTGCAGGCCCGGGCGGGCGACAGCGTAACGGGAATTTCTGTCGGAAATTCTCTCCTGGGCTGCACCCCGCAGGGCAGGGCCTGCCGGGGCGGGAAGCCCTTCCTGGGGGTGATTTCTGCACCGGGTCCCTGAGCCGTGGTGTGTGCCTCCTCCGGAGGTGGCTGTTCCTTGCACCTGTCTCATGACGGATGGAAACCAAGGAAGAAAGGCTCTGGGGCCTCCCCCACGGGGCACTAGGCTGCTGCTGTCACCTTCCGTAGCAAGACACAGAAGGAGGGCCCAGGCTGCTGGTGGCACTCTGGGGTCAAGGGCGGACGGAGGTCCTGGTTATGAGAGCTCCCGCGATAATAGGCTCCTGACGGGTGGCTCAGGGAGCTTCTGGGGACAGACGGCGGTTTGAAGTGGCAACGTCATGGTAACAGCACAGCCCAGGGACTCCCGGCAGGAGGGGACCAGGCCATCAGCCCGCGGTCACACAGCTCTGTCACACCACCCTGGATCTCTGGGCCGGAACTGGCTCTGGAATGTGTGAGCCCCGTGCAAAAAGCAGACGCCCGTTTTCCCTGTTCAGAAAGTGCAAAAAGTCCCAAGATGTCGACGGCGGGGTGTTGGGTCACTGAGAGCGGGGCCTGTGCCCAGGGACGGGACTCCGCTGTGCGCCACCCCCCAGCGCCTGCCTGAACCCTCTCAGAATTACTGCTCCGAGCGGCGGCGACGTGGCCCGCAGGACAGGACGGGGTGACAGTCCCTCCGCCACACCCCTCCACCAGGAGGCAACCCCCCGGGATCCCAGGAGCCAGGGTCACCTGAGGAGGTGTGCTGGAGACCACCGAGGAGATCCGCGGCAGAGCGCCATCCATCCTCCGTCCCCACCCTCTCTGCCTCCCCGTGGCCGTGGTAAACCGGCGGCTGGCATTTTTAGAGGAAGCTTGATTACGGTCACGATCATCGCGTTCACTCCCACGAAATCCGGCCTCGTCATCGACTGGTCACCCTTAAGATGAAAAGCCACCCCGGGACGGATCCCAGGAACGTTCTGAAGCGCAGTCCACCTGGTTAATGAAGCCGGCGGGCGAATCCCACGTCGCCCCGTCTCCTGGAACAGATGGGTGGGCCGAGGACACGGCGGGCGACAGGGCTGGGGAATGCCTGCCGCATTTTAGAGTCTCGGAAGGACCAACCGTGTGTCTCCCTGGGCTGCACAGACACGTGTACACTGCAAACACAAAATGCACCACCCTTGCACAGACGTATGTACCCGGCAAAAAAAAAATCCACCAGAATCAGGACGGTACCCTCCCCGACCGAGTTGGAGAATAACGTCATAAGTTGGCCATTTCACGCCTGGAGCTGTTTTGAGCTATTTGGATGCGGGAGCGGGAAAAGGAATCCCATTCCTTCCCTGCAGATGATCACCGTGAGAATCCTCCTGGAGGAGGTGAAAAGTGCACGGAGCCGGAAAGTGCGGGCCCCGTCCCCTACACCAACGCATTTTCTTCCTGACGCTATTCACGGTCCCTCTTTGTGGCCTGGTGGTGTCCGCGTCAAGGCGACCTGAGTGAGGAAGTTAGCTCTCGGCAGTTAAGAAGGAAGCGGCTTCCCTCACTGCCATTTGGCGGCAGCAGGTAGGGTTTCATACGGAGGGAGGCGGAGGCTGACGTGCCGAGACCCATTAAAACAACACTGGGTCCCAGCGTGTGCCTTTCGGCCCAGGTGACCTCAACGTCACCGATCAATCTCAAGGCATCTGGAGCAGCTGTTGTCACCGGTTTTAGCGGTGACCTAGTAAGCAAGGGACTCCTGGTGACTCTGCCACGGAAAACACCTCTGATCCATGGGCAACGGGAGGAGCAGATGCCTAAGTGGATTTCAGGGATTCGGAGGCTGCTCTTGTCTGCCTCAAACTGGCTGCAAACACCTACCTTTCCTTTGGGTCTGCCCAAGGGTCCCGTGGAGGTGGGTGGCCTTTCAAAAAGTCAGACGGTCAAACTCCTCCTCCCGCAGAGCACGCCAGCAGCCACGACCGTGTGTGCACACCGTCAGGAGCCGCGAAGATTGTGCACCACGCCACTCATTATGCCACCTCCAGTCACCCTTCCCAAGTCCCCCGGATTCTTTATCCCACAGAGACCCTGAACCCCGGCCTCCGGGAGGCAGATTGGAGACCTGGGTCTCCCGCCTCTCTGCTGCGCTGCTGGGTGAATCCACTCCCTTTTGCAAAACTCGGTTGTTTCCATGATGGACGCACCGTGCCGCAGGCAGAGCAGGCGGGGGTCGGCCACAGGTCCCCAGATGTCAAGAGCTCCGTGGCTGGGCACACTGATGAGAAAAGAAGCCAAGGCTCACCTTCCCGCCCCCCCCCCTCTCGGCACAGCGCTTGAAACGTGGTGTGCCGCGCAGAAGCGTTGATTTTTTCATTTTATCCTTACTTAAACATACAAGGATGAAAATCAAAGTCGGTGGCTTCCCGTGGCAGCGGCTCAGAACATTGGCCAGGGCGTATTCAGGACACGTCCTCGCTGGCTCTTGGTCATTTCGCGTTTTATAGAAAAGGGGGGGGGGCGTTTAGAAAACGATGTGGCTTAACTTCCTTCGCGTGTGAATTCTCAGCAAGTTTCGTTTGGGCCTGAAGTTGACTGCGAAGTGTAATGAGAATCTGGCTGTTGACACGGAGCCCGCTGGCGTCGTTCAGAGACAGATTCAAATTTATCTCCCTCCCGTCCCTGCCAAGATCATGGCCAGTGTGGAATTCAGCCCTGGTTCCACCTTCACGAAAGCCAAATGTGAGAAGATTCTGCTCTAAAGGAGCTAGGTGCTAGGAAATCCAGGTCATCGGAGCAACGGGGACAGGGTGCCCGCTCCCAGGAGAGCCGGGGACGCTGTTAGAGGTGACATTCTCCCTGGCCATCCAAATAGAGGAGTATTCACGCCTGTCAGAAGGACACGTCTCAGAGCACACGTGTGCATCGACTCTGCACACGAAGAGGTTCAGGATGTGCCCCGTTGAGGGGCGCAGGAAGACGTCACTGTGCCACGTGGGCACGTCGATTTAAAAGGCACTTGGGCTCAGTCCTGCAGCTGCTTTTAGACCGAGGACAGGGAGCCACGGGGGGTGGGAACCGATGCCCATCAAGAGAGAAGGTGCACAGGTCCGTGCTGGAGAGAGGAGGAAGTATTTTCATGGTCCTGCTCGACTTTACCTGTGTGACAGGTGCAGGGCAGGCGGCGGGTCCTGGGATTGGACCCGGGGCCGTGTGCACGCAAGGCAAGCACTCTCCCCGCTGAGCTAGGTCCCCAGCCCCAACCTTTTCTTTATGCACCTGAAATAGACCTCTTGGGCCAGTGGGGATAAAGGAGGGAGCTGTATACAGGCGGCGCGTTGGGGCCCTGGCGGGTGGGCATGCACCAAAGGCTGTCCCCTCCCTGGGTCAAGTCAAGTAGTCGGGCGGCAGACACCTGCCAGGAAGAACAGAGAGGAGGGGTTTACTCTGACTCCTGGTTTCAGAGGTTCTAGTCGATGGTGGGCTGGCTCAGTGGCTTGAGTCTGAGGTGGGTCACAACGTCATGGCGGAAGGGCGCGGTGGAGGCCAGCTGCTCACCTCCTGACACTCAAGCAGCAGAGAGGGAGAAGGGGGGAGAGAAGGGGGAACCATTTTGCAGCAGGGAGCCAGGGAGCATGATCCCAGAGAGCACGGACAGGCCTAAACCTGCACACGTGTGCACGCACACACATGCACACTGGTGCACGCACATGCACACACATGCACACGGGTGCATGCACACACGTGCACACGGGTGCACGCACATGCACACACATGCACACTGGTGCACGCACATGCACACACATGCACACGGGTGCACGCACATGCACACACGTGCACACGGGTGCACGCACATGCACAC